ATAGGATTACTTATAATAGTCACTCAAAGAAGGATATACAAAGGAGTGCAGGAAATCTGTCCACAGACTATAGACCAAGGAATCCAGCTGCAGGCCTGGATCCCACAGAAATGTCCTGCATGAATTCATCTGAGGACCTACAGCTCATAACAATGCCTCCCACTTTTCCAACTGGAGACCCAGAGACCATAACAATATCTCATGCAGGCCGGTTTCACCTATCTGTGTTGCAAAGGCCCAAAGGTCAGTGGTGGAATCTAGGAAGTCTATGCCAGTGGGATGAAGGATCTGTGCTAGCAGGCTAAGGGATCCGCACTGGAGCCAGGAAGTGACGCTCAGAAGAACTAGAGCTCCCCCGAAAGGTACCACAGCCATCCTCAGCAACAGTGAGGTCCCGAGCTCCTGCTATGATCAAGATGGCCGAGCTCCCATCAGAGAAGCCAGCACATCAAGCTTCTCCAGTAGACTGGCAGTGCACCATCTTCCCCTCTAGAGCAAGGAAGCAATGCGCAAGTGAGGACCAGAGCTCCCCCAAAGTGAACCAAAGTTATTCTCAGTGCCAACAAGGTCCCAAGCTCCTCGGAGGATGAAAACAGCCAAGTTCATCAGGAAAGCCAGCATGACAAGTTCCTCCAACAGAACCAACAGGTCCTTACAGCTTCCACCAGCTCGCAACAGCCTTTCTCAGCTCCCAGCAGCCTCTTTAGTTCCCAAAAGCCCACTTCTCCTTCTCCAGTTCTGCCTCTTATGCTGCTGGCAACAACCCCCAGGGGGGCCTCCCACACCCACACCATGCTTACTCTGTTCAGCTGGGGGTTACAAGCTGACCACCAGTAGTCAGTCCACTACAATTACCAACTTTCATTGGCCTTCCTTTTAGTTCAAATTCAGAGTTGTTCCAAAGCCTTCTTGGCACATTCTGGGTCAGAAAATGTCAGGAATCCATACCCCTTAAGTCAACCTGTTTCACTACCCATCACGAGGTGGATACTTTTGATCCGTCCAAAAGGCTCAAATATCCTGATGCCTATTTCCAGTTATGCTGAAGTGTAATGAGCCCACATATAGCCGCATCGGCCCCGCACCTCCTTTTTGTAAACTGTCTGCCATTGCTGCAGCTCTGTTTTTTCTGTGATGCTTGTGCTATGACTGGCACTCCTAAAACCCGTTGGTCAGTTAATCCTATTGCTAGAGGCACTGAACTAACATCAACAAACTCCACATAAGCAATTCCTTTGGAATGTTTTGAATTTCTATCAGAAGTCACCCTCACATATCAAACCTTTTCTACTGTACAGAAAAACTCTTCCAAATCTCTTGAATTCTTCCTGCCAGCTGCATGCAAAAAAGCTGTCCTTCCTCTGGAGTTAGATTATCAATAGGTTCCCACAGGGCTCTTCCTAATGGCTTTTTGCTTCAAAAACATCAGTGTCTGCTTAATTTGATGCTATGCAGCAACACACTATTAAATTTTGGTCTGGCATAAGGACTTCTGTACTGGCCCCAGAGCCTGTGATCTTGACTTCTTCAGCAGCTCTGTCTCCCTTTTTTTCCTTCAACTTCAGTCCACTCACAGCTTTGGCTTTTCTGTTCTTATTTTCCTGGTTTTGCTACATTCTTCATGACCAGTAGCACTACTCAATTTGCTCTATTTCTGCCCACCTTCCAAGGGGCCATGCTAGTCGCCAGCCACTACTGATTTCCTGGGATCTACGCCATTCCTGAGACCTTCGTACATTTCTGTTGGAAGCTAGGGACTGTAAGAGCCTGACGCCACCTCTGTCACATATCTTGCCCCTATGACTGACAGTTCACACTGGAATCAAGGGTGAATTCACGGGAGGAGAGATGAGATATCGTCAAACAAGTCCACACTGTAAGGAGCCTCGAGCACTACTTCACTATCAATAGCGACGGCCATTTTCGCTCAACACCTGTGCGGATTTTCGGGCACCTGGAGTGCTCATATTTGGAAAGTTGCTGCCACTGCCACTATTGCTACTGTTAAGCCTAGGGCCAGGCCTTGGTACCACCCAGCCCACCTATAGGGCTCTGAAGGCAGAGAGGCTTGAGCAGATCTAAAAGAAATAGAATTAGAGGGGCACGTGAAAGAACCAGATAAAGGCTTCGGCAGCTCCCTAAAACAGCAGCTGCTGCCTCCCCGAACTCACATTCCACAATGCATACACAGGGGCGGGGGGGGGGGCCGCGGGCTGAGGCCTGGGGAGGCAGCTGGGGGGCTGCAGCGGGGGGCGGGGGGGGGAGACACGGACACAGACATGCTGTCCTTGACAGTAAGATTTAGAAAGATGCAACTTTTGGCCTGAGTGAGAGAATGGCCTGAAAGTAAGTGTGGAAGCCGGAAAATGCATATATAGAGTTTGTTCAGAGACAGAAAACCAAGCTGGGCATGGTGGCGCACACCTGTATTCCTAGCACTCGGGAAGCTGAGGCAGGAGGATCATCGTGAGTTTGAGGCCAGCGTGGATTACACAGTGAGTTCAAGGCCAGCCTGAACTACAAAACAAAAAACAAACAAAAAACCAGGACGGAAAACCATGTGGATTGTGGCACAGAGAAAGTCTAGAAAAGTCACCTCACAGAAATGATGCTGGAAGATACCCGGTCTAACCAGGTTCTGATGCGTCCAGCCACCACTGAGGGAAACAGAGTCTGAAAGCAAGTTGCTCTGTCTCTCACTTCCACTATCAAAGTAGAATTCAATTCATTCTCCACAAGCCTAAAAAGCCCTGCAGCTGAGAGCACCTCAGACACGTGAGGATGGTTCCCTTGTGACCCTGGAACCTGCCGGCACAGACCAAATCAACGTCCCCTCAGCCCATCGGTTTAACTGTTTTACACTGCACCTTGGCTATTCTTCTGACTTAAACTGGTTTTTAACATTTTATTAACAATGTCCTTTGTCACCTAAATTAAAAGCTCCTTATAGGCAAGCAATAAAATGTATACCTTATATCCTCTTCACATCTAGGGGTGCACACATACTAGGAGATAGCGTTTGGTATTCATGGTGGATTGACAACTGGTGGGCAACTTGTAACACCCAGCTGAAGGGAGTAAGCGTGGTGGTGGGTGTGGGAAGTCCACCTGGAGACTGTTGCCAGCAGCGTAAGAGGCAGACCTGGAGAAGAAGTGAGGCTGCTGGGAGCTGAGAGAGGCTGTTGGGAGCTGAGAAAGGCTGTTGGGAGCTGGTGGAAGCTGTAAGGAGCTGCAGATTCTGTTGAAGGAGCTTGTCACGCTGGCTTTCCCGATGAACTTGGCTATTTTCATCCTCCAAGGAGCTCAGGACCTGCTGTCACTGAGAATGGCTTCAGTTCATTTTGGGAGAGCTCTGGTCCTCACTTTGAGCATCTCTTCCTGGCTCCGGAGAGACAGAAGGTGCACAGCTCAGTCTTCTGGAGAATCTTGTTGCATTGGTTTTCCTGATGGGAACTGGGTTGTCCTGATCATCAGAGGAGCTCAGGACCTCACTGTTGCTGAGGGTGGCTCTGGTACCCTTTGGGAGAGCTTTGGTTCTTACTTTGAGTGTCGCTTCCTGGCTCCGGTGCAGATCCCTCAGCCTGCTGGCACAGATCCTTCATCCCACTGGCACAAAACTTCTAGCTTCCACCACTGACCTTTGGGCCTTCCAACGCAGATCTGTGGAACAGGCCTGCACAAGATATGGTTATGGGCTCTAGGCCTCCAGCTGGACTGTGGGAGGCATTGTGATGAGCTCTAGGTCTTCAGCTGGACTCATGCAGGACATTATCGTGGGATCAAGGCCCTCAGCTGGTTAAGATTCTTTGTCTTTATGTGTGGACAGTCTTCGTGCACACTCTTGTAAATGATTCTTTGGGTGACTATTATAAATAATCTTACAAAATACGTGTCCTATTTTATACTATTTCCCTTGCAATACTCCCCTAAACCACAACGGTGTTCAATCTTTGAAATATTTCTGTTAAAACAGTTGCTTTGTAAAGAGGTTTTTTATAGATAAAGGGAAAACTCACTGTTTAATCGACATATTAGCTAATACAATCACTTCCAGTTCAGCTACAAAACTATCAGAATGAGACACTACCGCTCTCTGATAATATGTTATAACCTCAGGATGTTTTTCTATTTGTTTTTGTGTTTACTTTTGGGTTTTTTTGTCTTTTTGAGACAGGGTCTCGCTATGCAGTTTGGGCTGACCTTGAGTTCACTTTGTAGCCCAGGTTGGCCTCAAACTCGCAGTGATCCTCCTGCCTCAGCTCCCATCCTCCTGCCTCAGCCTCCCGAGTGCTGGAATTACAGGCATGCGCCACCACACCCAGCCTCAGGATGTTTTAAGAGGCAAGTTGAGCTTAGAAAACTTCAGATTTTTCCAACCTAAGGATACAGCTTGGTAAAGATGCCTTAAAAATCTATTTTGAGCAAAGCGAGATTAGAAGAACCAAAGTAGAGAATGAAAAATATCAACAATTAATAACACTTTAGAAAAAAGATACCTTTTTTTTTGTATGTTAAATGTATTGTAATGTTGTCCATAGAATCAAATTTTTATTCTTTTATTTGTTTGAGACAGGGTCTCACTTTGTAGCCCAGGCTGGCCTCGAATCCACAATGATCCTCCCAAGTGCTGGGGTTATAGCCATGCATCAAAATTTCTTTTCTTGTGACATGAAGTATGTACATATTTTTGTTAAATGGATATCATACAGAGCCAAAAACATATGCTCACTCCCTAAACACCAACTAACAGATAAAGGTCCTAGAGCAGTGGTGGCAAACCTAGAGATGAGCACCCAACTCAAAACCCACTTACCACAAAGCACCAACACTGCAATGAAACCTGAATGCTGAGATTTTCAGTTCAGAAAAAAATAATTCATACGCTAACATCTTTTGTCTTAAAAGAAAAACAACACAAATGCCACAGGTTCACCACCACTGTCCTAGACAAAAGAATCCCTACCAGCTTCCATGTTTTAATAAAGATCAGCAACACTTACTGAGGACTCTGGGTCTGACAGTTCATCCAGTAACTTTCTTGCATCTACTACAGCTTGATAGAGTCGCAGATTTTTGCCATCAGAAGCAACAAAGCAAGCACTTGCAGAATTGCAGTATGTGCCTGAAAAGGAAAACAGAGGCTGTGGATTATAACATAGTTTATTTTTATCATAGGCTGAGCTGAGAAACAAATATTCATACTTTTTTAGGCATAATTACGGTTTGGAATCATAATTAAACAACCAAATGACTTAAAATTATTAAGCAAAAATTCAGTAGAAAAACAGATTATGAGAAGATTACAAGCAAACAAAAATTCTTAAAGTCTGGTACCTACATTTTGAGTAGTATTTAAAGCATCTTAATAATGACAAAGGTAACCCATCAGTTTCACAACTTAAACGAATACTTACCAAGACAATAACTGGGAATAAGGGTTGGGAGCCAAGCCACGTTGGAGAAGGCTGAGGTGTGGAGGGAGTTGATCCTGGCCAGCTCTGACACTCCGCCAGTGTAGGACAAAGGGCCTATGGGGTCCACACGCCACAGAATCAGCTCACTGTAGATTGCGTTTGGGTCATGAAACGTACGAGTGGCTGCGTTCCTGAGAGGCTGTTTTGACAAACCTTTTGTATGTCTGACAGGATCCACTAGTCTACTTAATTTACTGTCTGAGTCCCACTGGCAATTGGAATCAGGAGTCAACAGGGCATTATGATGGGAAGATGTCAACAACAATGGCAAAACTGAATGGCACGCCAGGTCATTGAGGTGAAAGCGGTGACCGCAGTATCGGAACTTGTGGGATACAGTGAGAACAGTGGTGAAGGCAGACTTGTCAGCAAAGGTGACCGCCCACTGGTTGAGAGAGCCATCGACGTGCTTCGAGACCATCATCACTGTGGGATCTAGGATGTTCACACTCACGCTGTGTGCCCTGGAGGGCAGCTGTGATCTGCAGGGGCTGCCCACCGACAACAGCTCCTGGGGGGGCGGGCTGTGGTGCGAGTCTTTCGCTACGCTTACACAGGCATACATCATGATATTTTTACTCAGGGAGTTGGCGTCACCTGAGGGAAACGCAACAGGAATTCGAGACGAAAAAGAAACCTGAAAGACACAGTATACGATTCAATGTGAGGAGTCTGCCCTCTCTCAAAAATCATCTTCTCAAGATACTTTCATTTCCAAAGTGCCAAATCTCAGGTTCCTCGCAAGAAATGTCATTTTCAACCTCTTTATGGTGGAACTCTTTTCTTCGATTTAGGCAGTATTTCATTATTTATGGCCTAAATTGAAACACAAGGAGTTTCAAGTGCCTTGTTTTACATAAAAAAGGCCACAATCATAGATTTAAACTGGAATAAAGCTGAGAATGGTAACAGTAACACAGTGTTATACAGCTAGTAAAACTGAGGGGCGGGGTAGAGAGGCTCATCTTGAGTCCTATTTTGAGGATACTTTAATTTTATTAAAAATACTATGAAAGGGGCTGGGGATTTAGCTCAGCGGCAAAAGCACTTGCCTGGCAAGCGCAAGGTCGTGAGTTCGGTTCCTGGTACCGGAGGAAAACCAAAAAAAAAAAAAATAAAAATAAAAATACTATGAATTCCTATAAAAATCAGTATACATTTTTTTTTCAAAAATTACTGAAAAATCCAAGATTCACTTTCTTTGAACTAGCAAAATGTGTGGTCACTGATCCTATTGGGAAGCAACAGTAAGTATTCCTGTCTCGGTTGTTTATCAAAAACAACATTTTTTAGTAATTCTGAAAACCTCCTAAGTCTACACGGTATCTATTTTCTTAAAGATATGTAGTAATTGCTTCATCTGGAAATATACCTGGACTTGTCTAAATATCCCAGGGTTGTACTCATCCAAATACTTTACATGCCACACAAGAAAGGTGCCATCGATGGGGTGCACTGTGAAGAGCATGTCAGGGTTCTTGTTCCACTCGGCCAGCAGCGTCTCGATCTTGCGGTCCAGCAGGACCGTGGGCAGCGGCACTGCGAGGCTGGGCCGGTGGCAGGCCCTTGGGCTGGCCTCTCGCTCTCCGTCTTCATGCTCCGATGAGCCTGTACCTCCCTCTGACTCTCTATCCAGGGATAATTCTGAACCAGAAAGGACATTTATTAGAATATACCTTAAATAAGACTACACAAATTAATTTATATACTGGACTATAAATAGCATACTATCTTCAGATACTATAAATCCTTTTTCCTATTTATGGTCAGGAAAACTATCTTCTTATTTGAACTGAAAATTACCTCACTTATTCTCTTGGATAAATCAAGACTTCATTCATATAATTAATGTTTAGATGACTAGCAAATCCTGTTAATCCAAAAATGATATGGCTTCCACAGTAATGTATTACATAAAGCCTGGGTTCAATCCCCAGAACCACGAAACACACACACACACACACGCACATGCACATGCACCGATGTTTGCAGGACCTGGCCCAGGGCCTGGCCCATGGTATATGCTCAGTAAGTCACTATGGGATGAAGGGAAACATACAGAGGAGGACGAGCAGGGAGGGAGGGCACTAAACTCTAGCAAACACGACAGAAACTTGATGGCTTCCGAGAAAGAAAACTCAGCACACGTTACTAACCGTGGTCTAGTTTCATGCGTAAGCCCCTCTCTCTCTCCTCCTGGGAACGCTCCTCATCTTCTCTATCCGCATCATCGCTTTCATGATCTAAATGTTTCTCAGAAAGCTTTCGCAGTTGATGCATGAATATTTCAGCTGAAGATGTAAAATGAAATTCCTTGTTGTTCAACCAGTGAACTACAAAACCCCCATTTCCATCCTCAATGTTAAATGCAGTGCCGACCAGGGCATTTGGGATATCTGTGGAAACAAAAAAAAGTACATTCTAATGTGACTCTTTAATTTCTTTAAAAATATTACAAATGCTAATAATGATTAGTTCCATATATACGCAGAAAAAGTGCCAAGCAACAAGTCAACAAGATTGTAGTAAGATTTGTCAAATCTTTAACTGAGTTTAATGGTAAACACAAATCTGAAGAACTAATGGCACAGACTCCATGCAATTGCAGTACTAATTTAAAAACTAAATATACCAATACATAAGCCTTTACTGAATCCTGTTTTGGGGACAGAAGGATGGAAAAGATAAGGCAGAAAAGCAATGATAAGAGAGATAACCAGAGAAGCTTATATATGAATTGATGTTAGCTATTATGGAAGCATTTTTAATTTCTTAGATAAGACAATGATATTCTCATTCTGTGAATGAATGTCCTCCTTTGTAGGAGACACCTGCTGAGTGTGTGAGGGGGACATGCTGTGCTAAGTGCATCTTAGTCTGAAAATACACAGAAAAGCCCCCACGCCCACATCAGGAACACACGAGTACGTGAGTGTGCACAGGAGTAAAGCAACCACATACACTGCTCACAACTGTGGTGTCTAAGTGCAGGCCCTCGTAGTGCCCCCTGTGCTACTGTCTAACCACTCTGAATGTCTGAAAGGAAGAAACACAAGAAGGAAGCAGGCAAACTTGCAAGTATGGCAGCATTTCTCCACCTGGAGTACACGAAAAGTCATGACACAGAATAATTTGTGTAAAATTGCATAAGTCGGGGGCTGGGGATTTAGCTCAGCGGCACAGTGCCTGCCTGGCAAGTGCGAGGTCATGAGTTCGATCCCTAGTACCGGAAAAAAAAAAAAAAAAATAAAAATAAAAAATAAAAAATAAAATAAAATTGCATAAGTCAAAACTTTACTGCCTTAATTTTAATCCATATAGTGAATGAACAATTCAGTGGAAAAAATTGTCCTTTGCAAAAGTAAGTCATAGTCTAAAACATCCTAGTAGTATTCTATAATGAGTATCAGTATTCATGCTCTACATGTTTCTTTCTTTTAAATTCCTGGATGACAATGTTGGTTTTATGATAAAAATGAAATAAATCATATAAAATAAGACTTAGAAATTAACAAGCCTATAAAACACTACATCACCTATGCGTCCATATATTACTCTCACTAGAAATGCTGAACCTAAGTTTTAAGATGGACAAATACTCAGAGCGCAAAATATTCTAGAAGACAACTGAGAGACAATATTTTGAGACTCACACTTTTTTGGCAAGAGACTATTCTAGATTACAGTTTAAAGAAAAATGATAATAAAATCTAGTTTTAGCAGAAATTGTATTTGAGTATGAGTGAATATTACATGATACTATTCACCCACGTGCTGTGCATCCAGTAACACTACCGTGGTTATGGAGGCCATCTCCTTTTTACTAGAAAACACAATATAACTAAGCATGCGAGTGCAAACCTGTAGCTACTTGGGAAGCTGAGGCAGGAGGGTTCCAAGTTCATGGACAACCTAAGCAATTTAGCAAAGCCTTTTATCAACATTTTAAAACTTTAAAAAGACTGGTGATGTAGCTCAGTGCACTCTGAGTCCAGTCCCCAGTAGGGAGGGAGGGAGGAAAGAATGAAGAAAGGATTCATACTGAAATATCTGGGTAACACTGTAAAAGTGTTTACGAAGTAAAGGGTAATAACAACTTTACTTGCAGATGGTCAACTAGAAAACATGGGGAAGAGGAAGGAAAGAAATACATACAATAACTGTATGTAATTTTAGTAATATATAGTATTATGTAAATGATATATGCAAAATATCGTTTCAACATGTAATCAATATGAAGTAAGAATTTTTGGCTTCTTGCATAATTGTTCAGTAATACGTACAACTGCCCCATAACGAAGTGGAATTAAACAACGCGTCCATCTCAGTACCTGCGTCTTCCTTCTCGCCTCCTGGGGCTGGATCTCTTTCAGCACACAGGGACGCTGTCCCACCGTTTCAGGCAACCACCCTGCTATTCTCGACCCTCCTCCTATTATAAAGGAGCATCAAGGGTTCTGTCACCACAGGACTGTCCTGGGCCGCGGCCGCAGGCGGGCTCCTCAGAGCAGGCCTGGAGGGCGGGCTGGACGCCTCCCCGTGAAGGGCAGCAGGCCCACTATGCTCCTCTGTCACCTAAAGCAGCCACTTCTCCCACTGCCTCCTTCTCACTGTTCCATCACGAGGCTGTCCTGGTAACGGCCTTCTCTCATGGGGAGCCCACACCCTCCCCTCTGGGCATTCCAACCACACCAACACCTGTGTAAAATCCTTCCACCTATTTCCCACACAGTAAGGAAGAACAGAGACTTCACCTAGTTGCTAATACTGAACTCGACGGTTGGCTTTCTCTTCAATCCACGATTCACCAGAACTTTTGTTTCTGACTTCTTTGCATTTGGATAAACACAATGTCCCAGCAGCCCTAGCTGTTCCTACAGGTGACCCCAAGGCAAGCAAGGAAGCATCAGGCACTGCTAGTGCGCAGCAACACGACCTCTCTGGTGCTCTCTGGGCCGCGCCGTGCTCTGCCCACAGAGCGGGGACCGGGAAGCAGCGTGAACAGCCACAGCAGGCTGAGCCGCAAGCCAGGGCGCACAGGCAGAGCGGGCGCGTCGGAGCCTGGTAACCCAGCACCATGGACCCGAGGACATGACGTCTGTCTCCACCACCCATCTGCGAACTCTCCGCACTGACACCACCCTGCTGCCTTGGGTGCCCGGCAGATTTCATGACCCCGGAGGTGCACACTGTCCCAAGAAGGCTCTCCCTGCCACCCCAGAGGACACAGGCAGCACCGTCAACCACGGCTCCAAGCGATAATAAAGAGCTGTGATGAAGTCATCGGCACAGTGAAGTTCCTGCTTCCCCACTGCAGGGCAGGCCACTGTAAACACCTCGCGGTCACCCAAGGCTAGGGTGGGAGCCCAGGGACAGAATCTCACTCTTGGAGACTTTTCCAACTGGTAGCTACACAGAATGAGCCATTTTGTTGAGGACGACTGCCTTCCTCCTCCTAAAGAGTCGCAGGTTTCCTTTTCCTCTGCCTCTCTTTCCACGCGTCCACATCAGAGTGTGCGCCACACCTGCAAGCACTGGCTGCTCGTGAGATTATGCCTTTCCCTGTCAAGGACCCACCACACATCACCTTCACCAGGTGAGCCAGAATCTTGGTGTGAAAGCCGACCTCAGCCCCTAGCCACTGCGCACCCGGAGCCAGCTCCTACCTTCTTGGATCGCTCCGTCTGGGCATCTCAGGCCAGGACAAGCAGAAAGCAAGTCCTGGCTGCACAGAGCTTCGGGGCAGGACCTGCTCCAGCCCTCCCGTTTCTCCAGCAGCAAGAAATAAAATTATCAGTGAGGCACTGTGGGTTCTTTTCCCCCAGAGTCTTAAGTACCCCATGCGTATTTTACAGCACACCTCCACTGGGGTCAGCCACACTGCAAGTGCCCCAACAGCCTCAGATGGAGGAAGGCCGCTGCACTGGGCAGCAGACACCTAGAGTCACCACTACGATCAGCCTCCACACCTGTGCTTACCCAACATCATCTCTGTACAAGCAAACATCAAAAAAATCCTCTCCGTCCTGCAGCAACAGACCTCCATTTCAATGAAATGTGACTAAGTTTATAGAAACATAGGTCTACCGGTAGTGCTATATGAATTTTACAGCCTTTCACTTATGTTTTCATGGAAAAGAAAATACGCTACCTTAAACAAGCTCTCAAATACACTTAAGCTCTCAAATATGCTTTGTCAACATGGACTCTGCTTTGTAATACTTCTTAGCACATAAGAGGAAAAGGTGAAAGGAAATACCAAGGTTAGAAGAAAAAATATCTTTCCCTTAGCATACACCAAGTCTACAGGGGCATAAAACAAGATATGCTGACATATAAGGAAAACTTTGTAAAAATATATTTAGAGAAGTTCATAAATAAAATCTGAGAAAAAAGAATGGGCATATTCACAAGGGACAGCCAAGTGTGGTGGCACATGCCTGTAACTCTAGAACCTGGAAGGCTGAGGCAGGAGGATTGCCTCAAGTTTGAGGTCAGCCTGGGTTACACAGTGAGTTCAAGGCCAGCCTGAACTACACAGTGAGACCCTGTCTCAAAACCCCAAAAATAAATAAATAAAATAGATAAAATTGTAAGGGAGGAAAATCAAATCAATGAGTTAGGCTACCACCATTTGTGCTCCCAGAGACAACAAGAGCTTTAATATCCTTCAAACCACTGTCACATTCTAAACAAGAATGTTCAGAAATACTTATCAAACTATACCCTGAGGCACCACTGTGCAAATCAGTGTGAAGATTTCTCAAAAAACTATAATTAGAGGTTCCATTTGACCCAGCTCTTCCCCTCCTTGGTATCTTCCCAAAAGAATTAAAAGCATCATATCACAGTAATATACGCACACCCATATTTATATCAGCACAGTTTGTAACAGTCAAACTTGGAAACAGCCCAAATGCCCATCAGCTGGTGAATGGATAAAGAATATGTGGATTTTTTTATACAATGAAATACTACACTGCCATAAAGAAGGATAAACTTCAGCCAGGCGTGGCAGCGCATGCCTGAAATCCCAGCACTCAGGAAGCTGAGGCAGGAGGTTCATTGCAAGTTTGAGACCAGCCTGGGCAACAAAGTGAGCTCAAGGCCAGCCTGAATGGTGTAGAGAGACCCTGTCTCAAAAAGACAAAAAAAAAAAAGAAGGATCAGCTCAAAATGTTTTAGGTTAATGGACGCACCTTGAGACCAAATTCTTAAGTGAAATAAATTAGACACACATGTACAAATACCACACTGTGTGTAAATAAGGACCAAATGTATATTAGATATTGCGAAATAGGAAGAAAATGTTCAAATGGGGAGGGGCACAAGGGAAGGGGAAGGAAAGAAAAGAAAGAAAAAAAATGAAAAAATGGAAAACGTTTTTGTAAATGGGGAGAGGAGGAGGGGTTAAAGGGAGGGCAGAGGAATGGGGAAAAAAGATACAAATTCTATCATGTACTGGTACAAATTCTCTATGATGAATGTGATCGTTACATATATATATGTATAATGTATCAGTAAAATGATTTTAAAAATAAAATAACATAAAATCTCATGAGATCACCTTAAAAAACGAAATTGTATTCTGAGAATCACAGTCCCAATTTAAGTAATGGTGCTTTATATTATCTCCCCATTCCAATTAAGAAGTATTTTAGAGGGCAACATAAAATAACGTAAACTTCAGACAGTTCATAAAAGCAGCCCCACTCCCCAAGGCATTTACTTCAGCACGTTCACAGGCAGACAACGCGCCGCCCTGACCTGTGGCCGGGTTGATGCTCGCAGCGATGTGGAAGTGACACAGGGCATTGGCATGGTGGGAAATGTGCCTCTGGACTTCGTGCATGGCCGTCTGGTCAGGCATCAGCTCAGTGTGAGTGACGAGGACAGAAGACCTCCGCTGTCCTTTCCTTAAATTCTTCAAGTGGTGTATTGTCTAAAACAGAAAGGTAACCGCTGAGCCAACTCTGCAGAGCCATGACATGCCGAAGAACCCTTTCCTCTTGCGCTGCTAGACAGGGAACCTGTCACCTTCTGCACACCAGACAGGCACTCCACCGCCGAGCCCACCCCCATCTGCCCAAGGACTCTTAATTATCAAGGATTTTAAGATTTTCCTCACTGCAGAACCGGACCACTTTAAGGAACTCCTGAGATACAAGTACAGGAAAGTCCTCGCAGCATTCCCCGCTGAGATGCAAGCTGAACCACGGCTTGCGCACTCACGCATGGGGGTGTCTGGACCCAGGCCGAGTCCCTCTTGGATGACCTTCCCTTCACTACATAACCCCACCCGCAGGACCACTCCCTCAGTTTGTCAACCCAATGCCATCCTCTACAATAATCTCCCTTTCTTCTACTTTGTTCCCCGTATTCAGTTAAAGAAATTGTAACACATTATCAATTCTTTCTCCATTAAAGTAACACTCTGGCCCTCTTCAATTTCTTCAGCCTTTATGCCTTTTCCTATAGAAAACAGTGTCAGTTCAAAGACGTGGCCTCCTATGGAGCTGCTTATTTTTTAGACCTCCTGGGTCCAAACTGCCCATTGAATTATTTTCAATAGATTTTTTTTTATTTCTTTTTCTTGGATTGTTTTTGTTTTTGTTTGAAACAGGGTCTCATTATGTAGTTCAGGCTGGCCTTGAACTTATGGAGCTCCTCCTGCCTCAGCTTCCTGAGTGTTAGGATTACAGGCATGTGCTACCATACCCAGCTTCAACAGATTTTTGAAATGTATCATGATTTTAAATTGGACTGGCAAGGCTAACCTAGTAATGGCTGATTATTTCCTCCTAGAAACGAAAAGTATATTTAAGAATATATACCATTATATTGACCTACCAGTTAGGAGTTTTGTAGGAGAGGATCTCAGAAAGTAAAGTAGTTCCTAAGTCAGATGAGTTAGCTTTTTTCTTTTAAAACTCTTTTGACTATTATTAACACCATTAAAAGACAGTAAAAAACTTGTCAAATCACTAATTACATGTTTACTTGTATTTCTGCTTTATTTTAAAACAAGTTGGTAATACAACAAACATTTGAGAAGCAACTTATTAGAGAATAAAGTTGTCTAAAAGCTCCAGTCTCCTAAGTCTGACATGTAATTTAAAAATTAAATTCATAGCAGTATATATAAATGATCTTTAAAATCTAGTTAACCCTTTCTCCCAGTCTTTTTCAATTTCAAAAGATAATGTGAGGGGCCAGGGATGTAGCTCAGTGGCACAGCACCTGCCTGGCAAGCGTGAAGTCCTGAGTTCGATTCCCGGTACCAAAAACAAAAAAAAAAGGCAATTTGAGGTGTTCTGACCTCTACTTTTAATTCCCTTTACGCTTTCAATATTGAAAAAATGTACAAATAGCACCCAATCACATAGAGCCCGCCCACTTTACAAAAAACCTGAAAGGACCACATCCTCAAACTAACAAACTTGTATTTCTCTTTGGCAGCAAAATAACCAAGTTACTGTGTGGTTGCACAACCATTAAACTATTAATGTAAACAGACCAAGTGCACATGTCATTAGTAATGGCGAGAGATCTTATAACACATGAAGTGTGCAAAACAAGTTACAGTATATTTCCATGTGATAGACTCTCAATCTTATAAAGCAAAATATATATATTCATACACACATGACTGGAATGGTCAATTATAAACTCTGTACTTTTTTTTCCTTTCGTTAGTCTAATCTTAGAATAAGCATTTATTCCTCATATAACAGAAATAATCACAAGGAAAAAAATAAACTATGCTTACTATCAAAAATTTCTGCTAATTCTGAATGATGTATTTTGTTTTATTCCTTAGTCATACTAGAGATAGTATTTTATGCACTATTATAATCTAATTCTTACAAAGTACTTTCATTTCATGCTGTATTTTAAAAATGGAAGTTATTTCACTTTCAAAATATTTAACTGTGAATAACATACATCAGTATTTCACTTGTTTCTAGCTTAATAATTATTCTTAAGAACAATAATCATTTCAATTAAAATAAAAGTAAAATTTAGCCAGGCATGGTGGCGCACACTTGTCATTTCAGTACTCAGGGGACTGAGGCAAGAAGATTGCTAGGAGTTTAAGACCAGCCTGGGCTACACAGTAAATTCAAGGCCAGCCTAAACTACACAGCTGGACCCTGTCTCAAAAACAAAAGTGGGGCATGGTGGCCCACGCCTATAATCCCAGCACTCAGGAGGATGAGGCAGGTGGACTGCTGTGAGTTCGAGGGCAGCCTTGGCTACAAAGTGAGTTCAAGGCCAGCCTGAAGTACATAGTGAAACCCTGTCTCAAAAAGACAAAACACAAAACAAAAAATAAAGAAATACATAACCCCCTCAAAAAAAGTAAAATTTAATCTTCATGAAGCCAAAATCACTTTTGATTACAAGCTGTTATAAGGACCTTTAGACTTTTCCTAATCAAAGCCACTTACTCCTACAGATCTAGGCATCTGACATGCAAAATGAGAGAATTACCACTACACGATTCCCTTAGACTACACGTCTGAAGCGACTTCTCTCTGCATTGGCTGTGCAGGGACCTGAGCTCCCTCACAAGCGTCAGTATGTGAGAACTACCGCTGCAAACACCATTGTGACGTGCTGTGCACCACCTGCAGCTAGGCTACGACCTTCCAGCACCGCCCTAAGTAACGATACCTCCAGAGCATGCTGGATCCTGTCTTTGTGTCTTCCGGTATGAGAGAGCGGGCTGGCAATGCTGGAAGTGGTGGTCTCACAGATCTGCTCACCCATAAGGCAGTCTTCTGGCAGTAAGGTTTCTGCCCAGAGCCGGCACACACCGTCATGGCATGAAGTTAGTAATACGTTACAGACAGAGCCCCTGACAATAAAAAGAAATAAGCAGCAGTTGCTATGCACAGCAATGTCATCAACTGATAAAAGGCTATTAATATTGGTTCTTCATACATAAGAAGGACATTAGTGTACAATAGTAACCGAACAGTTCGAAATCACAAAGAGTACAATGTCACTGCACACATCATGACCAGGAAATGCTCTGGACAAAGGCAACAGAAAGGAATGCCTGACTGCATTGCGGCTTGAAAACTAGGTTCTGGTGCACTACCAGTATCTCCTAAACAAAACTAAGCAGCACAAGAAAAGATAGCCACAGTAAGTTACAGAGTGGTCCTAATAAAAGATTAAATGTAACTGAACTATCTGACTTACGGCAGTGGTTTTATCATTTTGCATCACTCTCTCATAATCTAAAAAGTTACAAATAGCTAAGGACACAGCTTCATAATTAAACTGCAAGAAGGATATCATTGCACACTATAAATCACCGTCCCATCCGTTAAAAGAAGTACTCCTAGCATGCACAGGGCTGAGTTCAATTTCCAGTACCACCAAAAAAAAAAAAAAGTACAAATGTCACAGTGTGAAGACGCTGAAGCACCCTAACTGCTATAGCAGGCTGTGTGTGGTGCAGCCATGAATGCTATACCACTTCATGTAATAAGGAAGCGACACACACCCTCCCATAAGCAGTGAGGAGACTTCAACTCCTTGATGAAGACCAAAAACATCTCTTTTCTCTTAAAAAAAAATGCTTACATAGAATCTGACTCAATTAAAAGTTTAAAAACTATTCTTCAGCCTGTAATCCCAGCACTTGGGAGGCTGAGACAGGAGGATCTTTGTGAATTTGAGACTAGCCTGGGCTACAAAGTGAGCTCAAGGCCAGCCTGCACTGCAGAGCAAGACCCTGTCTCAAAAAGACCAAAAAAAAAAAAAAACCTATTCTGCGAATTTTTTCAATAGATGCAAATAAACAGAATAAATCTTTTATTTGGACTCCAAAAATGTATACACTTCCCATATTCTTTTCCAGAGCATGTCCATAACACATGCTATTTCCTGTCAGGTGTAGTTAGCAGGTGAAATAACCCTCCTTCAGGAATGACCACAGATTTCTAATCAAACTTCAGAATGTCCACCAGTTTTCTCAGATATGTACCTACGATACCAAACCATTTAATGTACTGTTCTATAGTTTCTAGATACCTACATAATCAGCCCTCCGTGGCCATGGGTTCTGTATCTGGGATTCAATCAACTACAAATGGAAAATAGTTGCAGGAAAAAATTATAACCATACTGAATATGCACACTTACTCTTGCCATTCCCTAAATGATACAGTGTAACATCAATTTACATAGCACTGACATTGTACTAGGTGACCACAAGTAGTGTAGAGGTGACTTAAAATAATGGGAGGAGGTGTGAGGGTTAGATGTAAATACTACACCATTTAACATAAAGAACTTGAGCATCTGATGGCTGTAGCACCTGTAGGGAATGCCGGAACCAATCCTCCAGGGATACTGAACAACAGCTGTAACAAAAAACACTTTGAAATGAGTGTGGTGGTGCATGTTTGTAACCGAGCACTGGGAGGGTGCAGGTGAAGGTTTACTTGAGCCCAAGTTTGGATCAACTGGGAAGTACAGGAAGACACTGCCTCAAGGAGAAAGAAATTTTAAAAAGGAACAGCTTGTGATTGGCATTGGGGGAACACGGTATTTATAGTGGAACATCAATAAAGATCTTTTTTTAAAAAATTCTTTTAAAAAGTCCTGTTTGGGTTTGGGGATGTGGCTCAGTGGCAAAACTCTTGCCCTGCATGCACAAGGCCCTGGGTTCGTTCCCCAAAGCCACATACACAGAAAAATTTGAATCTACTGCCAGGTGTGGAGGCCCGTAATCACAGCACTCAGGAGGCTGAGTCAGAAGGATCACTGCAAGTTCCAGGCCAGCCAGGGCTATAAAGTGAATTCAAGGCCAGACTGACTGTGGAGCAAAACCTTGTCTCAACCGGGCTAGTGGCACACACTTGTAATCCCAGCACTCAGGAGGCTGAGTCAGAAGGATCATTGCAAGTTCAAGACCAGCCTAGGCTACAAAGTGAGCTAAAGGCCAGCCTGAACTGCACAGTGAGACCACTGACAGTTTATGGCCACGTTATCTGTGCTCAATGTGTGCACTCCTGTCACTTGCCAAGATACTTTTCCAGCCCTGCAGCTACTACTCACAGGGACCAGCCAGCGCTGCCAGGCATACGCTGCACAGAGCTTCACACCCACAAAGGCACTTCAGTTCACCCTACTCTGAGGCAGTGCTCGCTACTCCTACTCGCCCCACAGAGGGAAAAGCTGCAATAGAGAGCACTTACAAGTGAGTCACAAGCTCTCAAAGCTAGTGACAACAGCAGGGCCTGCTCTGGTAATCACCACGTCAATACAGTCAAAGGGTTTTATCTGCAGTATGTTTATAAATGTGTAAGCATACAATTAAAGTCACGCACGTGTGTCTCACCTGGGCATATACTTGCTAGTTTTACGCCAGGAAAAACCTGTCACCGCTCGGGGATGTGCCAAGTAAACAAAGGAGAACTGGGTCGAGGCCTGTCTTCGTTTCACTTCCTGATGGTCCTGAGGTATGATTGAAGACTTCCAACCAGTCATAGGGTACCACACTTTCAAAAGACAATCGTCCTGAAAAACAGTCACATCAACATTCAATTATTCTGTACACATACAATTCAAAATGTAAGTGATATGAAGTTTTTCAAAGTTCAGATACAGTGTATCTAAAAACTAATGTGCGACCCATAGATAGGACAAAACCACACCTACAGTGACATTTGTCTCCTCAAGAACACTATACTTGAAGACAGACAGACAGTGTGTGCATAAGCAACTTCCTCCACACACTCTCTAGTGCAGATGGACACCAAATCCCCGTGAAGACCATGGGTCCCTGGGGAAGAGTCTGACGTGAGCACCGTGGTAAGAGCAGAGGAGAAGGTGGCACGTGGCCTCTCCTCAGTCACTGTGAGCATGTGTCCTCTGCGAAGACGTCCACAAGAGTGAAACTGTCCACAGATGAACGGGTTCCTGCTCTAAATCAGGACTCGGCAAGCTTTTCCTACAAAGGCCGAACAGGTCTGTGACGCAGACTCGTTTCTGTTCACAACCCCCGCAAAATGGAAAAGCGTCCCTAGCGTACGGGCTAACGGCTTCCTGATTCCCACTCTAAGTGATGAGAAAGCATTTAGGCAGTTCACAAGAATCATTTCTATGTCTGTGTGAGATACAGGTATAAAGGGAAATGGACTTATCATGCCACTTAATTCTGATCATTTTGTTAAAGGCCTGTCTCTTTTAACAGACATGGTCTACTTCAAAGTACTTCGCCCTTCACAGTGAAAAGTACACAGAGAGAAGAACCAAGTGCCAGCATTTATGCAAAACTATCAGTCTCTTAAGAAAAGCTGAAATGATGTACTCTTGGAAAGTACGTGTAGATCCAACATTTCCATCTGGGCCCGGTAACCACCTCTGTGTCTTTCAATCCTGACACTCACTCTCCCCTGACACCCCACACTGAAATGCAGCCTCCAGTACTATCTCGCTTGGCTGGCCATTCGCACCGTACACTAAATCCTTTGAAGTGCTTGCTCTGAAACAACCACCCAACAACGTCCCAGCCACTTTGCTCTGGGAGCTCCTACCTCTCAGCCCTGTTCTCGTGTAGTCACAGCGACAGCACGGTCCACGGCAATGGATTCAGATGATCTGTGTGCCGCAAACCACCTAGCAGTACCTCCAACTCCCTCAGCAGTCACAAGAACGGCGAGAGCCCGCGAGCAGTGGTACGCTAGCCCTTCTCCCCTTCCCACCAGTCCTCCTCTCATCTGTCCAGTGACCCTCACCTGGCACCGTCTGAAACTCTCATTAGCAATCAATAGCAGAATGATTCCTAGAATACTCCCAACTATTCAGAAACTAAACAATTCTAGCTTATAAGGAAATTTTTTCTAAATATGGAGCATAAAAATGAAAGCACAATGTATCAGTCAATCTACAAGGGTTACAGTGACAGTGCTCAGAAGGAAAGGGACAGCTTTAAATGCTGACTTGAATGAGACGGGAGTCTTCTGTGGCCTAAGGCAGCTACTGAAAAAGTGAGTTTTTAGTAGGACCCATCATAAACAGATATAAGGAGCCCACTGTCAGTGAAGTCACTGCAAATATACCTGTGGAGGAATAAAAAGCAACTAGCCAGGCAGGGTGGCACCACCCTGTAATCCCACCCCTCAGGAGGGTGAGACAGGAGGATCGTTGTGAGTTCGAGACCAGCCTGTGCTACAAAGTCAGCTCAAGGCCAGCCTGAACTGCACCGACAGCACAGACAGACTCTCTCGCAAAAAGACCAAAAAAAAAAGTAACAACTACTGTTGAATTTCTATCATCTTGTTTGGTAAAACTCTGTATCATTTATAATTTTTTGTTTTTATTTTTTATTCTCTTTAATGGTTTGATTAATCTTGCATTCTTACATCTGGTAATCCGATCAATTCCGATGAAGATACAAATATGTAACATAACAACCCCTGTTAATCCTTATCGTTTTTTTTTCTGAAAGCCTATATCATTCTTATTGTTTTTGCTTTGTTTTGTTTTTGTCTATGTTGTCGGCATTTTGCTATTATTCTCTTTTTTCAATTCTCTGTAAGGTAAAAAATAATTTAAAAAAAAACTAACAGAAAAAAAACAATGAAATTGACCATTCTCAATCTAGAATGATCAAAAAACAGTTCTAGAGAAACACAAATTACCTGTATCAAGAATGAAAGAGGAGTCACGACTACAGACCCTACAAACATTGCAAGATGAGGGAGGCCGAGAATGAAGCTCAGTGGTGTGGCACTTGAGGATGAAGCATGTGGAAAGCCTGGGCACAAGGACTACCATGAAGGAAGTTAGGGAAAGAGGAAGGGAGAAGAAAGAAAAAGTATTATGAGCAACTGTATACTACAAAATTCAATCATTTAGGTAAAAGAGACTAATTTCTTCTGAATTTCCAAAATAGGTAAAGGAAAAAACACAAAACCTGAATAATCTTACATCTATTAAGAATGTTTGTGGTAGGCATACTTTGAAATCTGCCCGCAGCTTTGGAAGAAGAAATTTTGAAAACCTAAAACTAAAACCCTAAACCCAAAAGATCTCACTGATGAACTTTACCATATTCTTAAGGAAGAAATAGTACATTCCAGAAAACCAAAGACAAAGGCTCACTGAATAAAAGCAACATTATTACTCAATATCAAAACCAAAGACATAAAAAAGTACAAATGATCAAAACTCCATGGTTACAGATTCAAAAATCCTTAATAAATTACTAGCAAACCTAACCCAACAGAATTTTAAAACAATAAATACTGACCAAATTGAGTTCATCCCAGCAAGGCAAGGTAGTAAACATTAGAAAATTCAATCACTAAAATTCAGCATTTTAACACAATTTAAAAAAAAAAAAAACTCATCACTTCAATCTATGCAGAAAAACCATGTGATGAAATTAGGCACTCATAGGAAAGCAAACAAACTCTTAGGAAATAAAAAAGGCAATGTCCTCAACCTGACCCAAGGCAGCTAGCCATAGTAAGCCTACAACTACATTATCCATAAGGGTAAAAGGCTCAACACCTTGCCTATGGAACGGGAAGCCATATAAGGATGTCTGCTCTCGTCAACCCTATCCAATATTTAGAGGTCCAACTCCCTGCAATAAATTGGGGAAGGAGAAAAAAGGCAAAGGGATTCAAAAGGAAGACATTGTCTTTATCACGTGACTGTGTGCACAGAAAATCCTAAAGAATCTACCACCAAAAATCTGCTAAAATTGATAAGCATGATCATGAAGCTAACATCAAAATTTAAAAACTGGCTGCATTTTTGGAAGCAATAATCAGAAATGTAATTTTTTTCAAAACTACCTTTACATTAGGAAGCTAACCCTAACAAAATTATGTGTAAGACATATACACTGAAAACTACAAAACACTGCTAAATGCAATTAAAGACCTAAATACATAAATATATCACCATGTTCACGGCAGCTCCTAGGGCCGAACGTGACAAATGTGCCAACCCCTCACGACTGAGGTGCGCGATGCAACGTAACACAATCAAACCTCAGTGCCTTCTCACAGAAGCTGACACCATCACAGGCTGATAGTACAGAAGTTCAAAAGGCTGACGCCACCACGTACTGGCAAGAACGGAGGCAACTGACACAGTGCAACTGCTGTGATGTGCGTGCAAACGCGTAAGACAGTAAGGGGTCTGTCTTGTTTTGTGACGCACATGTGACACCATTTCCACTCCTAGCAGTGAGGAATGTTACGTGCCTACGAAGACTGCAAATGGTCACTGTAGCTTTACACATTTCACCCTTACACTCACAGCAACTCAAATGCCCCTCAAAAGATAATGGAGCAACAATCTATGATGTGTCCACAAAACAAACCCAACTATTCACAGACTTGAGATGCATCTCAAAAACCTTGTTCTAAGTCCGAGAAGCCTGACACAAAGAATGCACACTGCACAGCTGCACTGCAATGGAAGCCTAGGAAAGCGCTTTTTAACCATCAGGGACAGAGCACACAGCAGCTACTACCGGGACAAGCGGGGCAGTGAGGAGAGGGGCCAAAGGAAGTCTTCCGAGATGGCAGAAATGCCCTACAGCCTGACGGCGATGGCCAGATGGGTCTTCAAATTTGTCAAAAAGCATTAAACCACACACTCAAAATATGTTTAATTTTAGGTAAATTATACCACGAAGATTCCTCTACAAGGGATTTTTTAATAGAAAAAAATGAGACGCATTTAGAGTTCATTAGGAGTTGTCTAAGTTAGCCTACAGTAACTTAACTCATATAACACAAAATTGTGTCCCCTTTAAAAAAGAATACAGATGTTTGTGAACTGATATGAAACCCACCTACAGTATGTTAGGAAAATCAGGCCAAGAACCTGACTTCATTTGAGTGTGCATATGCGCACACACTTCTGCATGGTTCACAAGGCATCGAAGAGTCTGGAAGGATATACAGTATGAAAGGGGAAACAGCCACTGTGGATTGGATTGGGGCTGTCTGGCAGGGGAATTCAATTCTCTCTGCACATTTTTAATACTAAATTCATATCACGTTTTTAAAAAGACACTAAAGATTTCCATCTTGAAGGGATGAAAAAGACTGGTAAGTCAGGTTTTGTTATTTTGTCTTTGGAACAGCGTTTTGCTGGGATTCCAGCTATGTGCTGCCACAGCAGGCAGTCATCTCTTAAAATCAAAACACTGCGTCTGGAAACAGAGCAGGACTCTCAGGGGCATGAAGGTTCTATGACACCCTGTGGTCCTCCCTTGCCTTCCCCGCCCAAATCACCTTCCCTCAAGAAGTCTGCTCGCAGCCCTGGGAAAGCCTGTTTTGTTTTGTGTTTTGTTTTGCTTTGTTTTACTCCAAGAAGTAAACCTCTACTAAACCTTTTAAAAAAGAAACCAGAACATTTTAAATCATACGTAAATTTTATAAAATAACCAACTTTCTTAAAGTATTTAAATATAACTTTATGAAAAAACCTAGAATTTTAATGAAATTTCTTAACAAGTAAACCAAAAAGAGTTTTAAAAGATTCTTTGG